ATAAGATTCTGCAGAGACTGTATAATAACAATTTTCAAACCCTACATTTAACTGTGCAAACTTCATAGCACTATTGTGTTTTGGTGCTGTAATTATTCACAAATTTCAAATAATTTTTTTTCAAGATTTCTCAGTTATAGTTACTCATATCAGTGTTCTTCTCAATGTTTTTTTTTATTCATGTTCCAAGCAAAACATTCTTTTGTGCTATAAAATTAATTAATCAATCTATTTGAATGTAATGAGTAATTACGGTATTCTGTTATATAAACATATAAGTATTTATGCTTGTGATGTAAAGACATCTGTGTCCTACATGTAAACTGCAAAGAAAATTTATATTTTCACCATGCTTGCAGCTAGGATAAATCATTTAGTTTTTCATGGCCTCTTAAATACTGATCCAATCTGGAGTACTAAATTTAGTTGCTAAGTAGCCTATTGTACCTGGTTGGGTGTGTTAGAGAAACTGATTGTGTTTAGTTGTGACAATCAACTATTGTAATCAACACAGAGATTGTATGAAATAATTAAAAGGGACTGCCACAATTTAGTTCATTATTCTCTAGATATTATTTACTCTTGGTCAAAATTTTGGAATATATGAACTATGTTTCCTGTAACTGAGAGGGCTGCCAAGAGCAAATTAAACTTAGTTGCCGTATAATAGGAAACTTTGGGCAGTATGATATATATCCAACATGGCTGCCAATTCCCACCATTGCAAACCTTCTATCCACCCTGAATAAAGAAAAAAAACTTTGTGGTAAACACAGTTTCAAGGTACCATTACTCCTGTAATCAGAGCGTAATTTGAGTGACTCGTAACTGAATTTTGTCAATTTGGTTTCTCTGAAATCCTAAAAAAATATTTACTAGTCCTTTTTTAATTTTTTCTTCCACTGACAAAAGTTTGTCATAATTTTGCAAAATATTTTAATAATTACCGATTGACTGTTATATATTTCTGATGCATTGTTAATTTCAATTTGTGCATTTTGAAAAACTATTCACAATCATGGAAAATGAAAAACATACTGTAGTACAAATAATTACGTACTGTGTGTAATGTTTTGCTACATTTAGTGATTATTGTAACTTTGATTTTTATTATCATATATCTTGTGGATCTATTAAATTTGATATTGTGGTTATTTATTGTGTGTTGTTGCATTTCTATAAAGAACCAGCTCACATGTGCCTACACCTACTGAATCTTTCAGTACTCAATGGTACAGTCAATTACTAATCCACCAAATTACAAAAGTGGCCATGTACAATTTAGCAGCCATAGAGTAATTGAAAGTACAACATCACCAAATAAGAAAAACACCCCACCCCCACCACCCACCACCAAAAAAAAAAAAAGAAAAGAAAAGAAAAAAAGAAAGATGGTACTTTGATGGAGGAGGGGGGTGAAAGTGCATTGAATATTAAACAGTCCACAACTCCATTTGTATGGTTATACCATTTTCCTCCTTTTATCACCATATGTTCCTTAAAATATAAACTCATAGTGCACTAAGTAAGTTGCCTTCTTTTTTTGACATTATCAGAGACTTTCAGTTATAACAAAGTGTTCTGTGCATGCAGCCTTTCATTACTCGAGCCCAAAGTTTGGTATGTCAATAGTTTCATCTTAACTTCATCTGGGTTTTAAGTGTACATGGGTAAAATGTGGAAGCATTTGATAAAACAAAACATTGCTCACAAGTCATTTTACATACCTGCTTTTTGAAGTTTAAGTTCCTGATGAACCCTGAAACTGGAAAGCATTTAGCAATACAAACCATATTCCAACCTTTAAGGTCTTTGCAAAAAAATATTCACCAGGCATTTATGTCATTATCTTCTGTTGTGTACCAAGCAGGGATTCACTATGGATTTAATTAGATTGATCATTTACTCGTATTCTGTCTCATGTATAATAGTAAAAATTTGAATGACAAAATTACCATTTATAAACTTGGCCTGTGAGTTTTAAGTTTGTCATTTGTTTGCCACTCCTGTACAGAGATTGAGACTTGTAAATGTCACCCATAATGCTATAAATTAGAAATTAAGAAATCAAAAACAACACTATATATCAGGCTCATCTCAATAGATTTGTATAGATTATGCTTTGCTGATTAAGTAAAAGTTGCTGAAATTTCTTGCAAAAATTTTAGCTATATGAAGGTCTGACACAAATTGCATGCTTTTAAAGTACACTGCTTCCTTGCTGAGTCAAATGCATACTCCATGTAAAAATAGTTTCAAATCAATAACATAATTAGGTTCTTTGTCGATTTCACACTGGCCCCTCACCACCTGCCGACCAGAGTTCACGCAGGTCCAGGCTGGGCAGCCATGTCAGAAGCAGCTGGGGTCAGGGACAATTAAATACCAATCAAGACATGATGACATATGTTGAAAATGATTTTGACAAATATGAGCCTGGTTCACTTCCTCATTAGGTTCGACATGGAGTCAAATGATGTGATTATGCCACAGTGTGTCCTTACTAGCAACAGTCAACAGGAAAGAAATATGACGAAGTAATTCACAGAAGTAGACAACTAAAAAAATGCTCTTTATGTCTTGTCAGAGAGGAAAATTGAAATGCAGAGATGAATCAAATGAAACATGATCCTCCTGTGTCAATCTGTGGGAACACGCGATGTTCCATCCTTCAAATTATTACCAGTGGGAGCGGATGAGACTTCAGAGAAATGTAAGGAATTTCACACCAAAGTTAATTACTAACAACCTTTTTCTTGGACAACACCTTCAGGAGCATGCAATGAGGAAAATATCTGCTCAGTTCACTAACAAATTTTTCCCCCAAAGTATTGAATTTTAAAACTCACATATTCATACTGGATTTTTACATAAAAAACTGACAAAACGGATTTACTTTCTAATCACCACCATCTTTGTCAGCTAAATTAATTTTAAATTGAGTCATTAGCTAAAAATTCTTGCCCACCAAGTAGAGCCAGGTTGACCAGTGACTGTTTTGATGAAGTGAAATGGTTATTGATTAGCAAATTAACCTTTTCTGATACTGAACTTCTGACACCAGGCTGGTGGCCTGAAACTTTTTATCTCTGCATCACATTCGACACCTGACAAATGACTGGTCAATGATCAACTGACCATAGGTAAACAAAGCAACAAATCTTTATCACTTCAAATGGTGCGTAACTCAAGCAATCTTTCCATCTGTGACACCTCTAGCTGTGCCTTTTATGTTACAGAACAATTGTCCTCATCTTGTATCTTATATAAGATATATATGCCCAGTGAAACAAGGTTAACATTTTTATCACCCTGTGACAAAAGTCAGGGATCATATTTATACTTGCCCCCACCCCCACCCCCCAACCCACATACAAAAGTCTGGATACACCAGTGCTAACTGCAGATATTATACATTTCAATGTTTTTTATAGTTTTTATGAAACAAGACCCACTACCATGTGACTGACACCCAAGATTTTTGTGTATGACACTTTCAATTCTTGGATACTTTAATTTCAGAGGATACTTAATTAATGTCATACTTCATGTAATGAAAAAATGACTAGATTTTGTTTTTCAATACAAAACCATACAACACAATTTCTAAAGGGAAAAATTTAATCCAAGAAGAATTTACAGCTTCAGTAACACCTAGCAAAAGGACTTCCGTTTCATTAGTTTTGCAACTATGTCATCTACAGCATTTAGCAACTTTGCCTGACTAGGCTAAGGCACCCCCTTAATGGAATAAAGGTGTAGCAAAACAATGAAATCCTAAGTCTTCAAAGAATTCTCTGAAAAAATTAGATTGAATTCTCAAACCCACGGAAGCCATGTAATGGAAATTAACATGTCTGCTTCACTACTTTAACAGCTGCCGCTAATGGTATTAAAGTTCTGGAAATTGAGGGTTAAAGGAAAAGACACAATTCATTAAACATTTTTACAGATACAATTTGGGGACATTATAAAACTATTCTTTTCTCAGGCAAGGTGATGTGAAAGCATTCACCAGAAAAAAACACATTAACCTTTCTACACAATGCCCCAGGAATCAGCATTCAGGCAGGTGAGTTATTGTTCAGGTTCATGTGCAAAATTAGATTTTACCTCAGTCTTCAAGAACTGTTGCTGCAAAGTGATTAATCTGTTTACTGCTTCAAAATTTTGGACATTTTGCTAAATCATCAAATTTGTCATGCCTGAATAGAACAGGAATATGTAACAATGCTCAATGTTGTCAATGTAATGAGAAAAAGGCAAATTTACTAACGTGTACCGAAATTAGTTTGCAACCCAGTACAATCGAAAGCCTAGTACTTGACAGATTTGCTACAACTATAGTTGTAAGAGATGAACAGATTAATCATCATGTTATAAACAACAGAAAAAGTAAGAGATACAAAGGGCAACTGCAATGAGTGTTGTAATGTACCTACCTCAGGGAGGGCGGGGTGGACAAGTGATACAGTGAGGGGTGGGCAGCACTTTTCTAGTCTTTTGACTAGTTTCAGTTTGTCTTCAGGGGTCTATTTTCACAAGAAAGCCACAATACTAATGTAATACTTAAGTTCTAATGTGATGTTGCATGACATTTGGAGGCTTTGAGCTCAATCAAGTCTTGGTCTTATTGCCGTCTTTATTCACATTAAAAAAAAAAGACTAAAATCAAAATACAGACATGTACACATACTCCTGTCCTTCCTCACAAGTTCCAAGCTTTTAGATCAAATATTTCAATTTTGCCTTTTCTCCGAGAATCACACATGATTACTGCAATCTTCTGTATTAGCCCTAGCTGTAGATTGCATTTTACAGGGAAATCAATTTTTGGATCAATATGTTGGAAAAGGCCACCTTTTCACTGCCATTTCTTTTGCCTAAATACAATGTCTGCAAACTTGACAAACTGGTACCTGTGTTTTGAAGTCCAAGTGTCAAATGTCCCTAGAAACTGACCTCTATTCTTTGTCAGCACGCATGCTTGTATTACTTACTCTGGTTACAGCCTGGTCCAAACATCTTTGGATCTTCACAAATCTCACACGCAGAACCAGTAAAGTTGGCATTGCACTTGCATGTACCATTTCCTTTGATGCCATCAATACACTGAAATTTTGATATCAAGTTTGTTGCAATTTTCCAAGTGACTCAAAAGTAATTTTTATCATTTTATTATGTTTCTTATTGCTTACATTATTATTTTTTAATATATAATTTATGTTATTAATATACATAACCAGGTTTGAAAATGAAGAAGTTGTTTTGCATCAGATCTGAGGCTACAGGTACAGACTTCTTTTAAAAATTGAAAGCTAGATCAGCTTCATACATGGGCAGACAGTCTTCCCATCTCAATTCAGAAATCTAATTATCTGTGTAACATCATAAAAAAAGTGTCTCAGAAAGAAAATGATTCCTGGAAGTCATCTCTAAGCCCCAAAAGATGGTCACGCACTACCTACATTGCCAGATTATAGTATTCTGGGGTTCCAATTTTCAAAAAATGATCCAATAGATTTTTAGGATATAGAGATTGCATGACTTTGTGCTCAAATGAGTTCTAATCAGCAGGTTCATTCCCTATTTCAATAGTAGAAATGTTCCCAAATAAAAAGGTAAATTAAAAGACATTACTGGGATTATTATATAGTGTTCAGGATCAAAAATCATTAGGTAAAAAGAGCATATTGATGGTGATGTAATTTGCCATTAGAACCTAAAATTAAGGCCAGAATCTAGAATCCAACATCCAATGTGTATCAAACATGGCTAAAATAAATCCTGGTTACATTTTTTTCTGTCAAATTACTGGTTCTTTATCACATCAATGAACAATTGTTGGTAATTAATCAAATACCATTTTTTCAGTGAACTATGTTTCACAAAGGACAAAAATAAATAAATAGATAAATTGCAAAATAAGTCTAGATGCCAATATTACCTGCCCATTACCATAACATGGATTGTTGTACTCTCCTGGGCAGGGCTCACAAGCTGAGCCATAGTAACCACCACAGCACTCTGAAACCTTTAAAAGGGAGGGACATTCAACATATTTCATCCATATAAAATGACAGAAATAAATAGCTATATTTCTATTTCATGTTTGTTACAACAGACTGTTGCAGATTGCTCATAATCCAACATCAGCAAAGCTAAATCAGGGTTGAGAAAGTGTATTATGAAAACACAATCTGTCTCACCAGTCACATTCCCACCTACCGTAATGCTCCTGTTGCACATCCAAGCACATCCATCCCTGGGATATGAACGGTAGAAGAAGGAATCTGGAAAAGGATATCTGACAAACCCTCTATATCTGTGGGCGCTCCAGGGAAATCCGTCATGACGCCATGCCACGAACCTACACTTTAAACTTGGCTGTTTCTGAAATGTGATCTTTAGATGATTACACTTTTTTCCCAGCACCGATTATTATGATTTAAATCACTGTAAGAAAATGACTTTAAAACTAGACAGCAAAGCTTTCCAAATATACACACACCAAACGGGAGGCACATTGCAAAAAACATATGTATAAAAATTGTATGAAATCTCATTAAATTGCAAAACATTTGAAGTCATAAAATTGTTACATGGATCTTAAAGAAATTTAAATGGACATGCGAAAGCTGCTGTTGTATATGACTCTTTGCCAAAACATACCTGGACATATACATGCCTCTTATTTGCCACATATTTCCTCTTGTCCCTTTATCTTTCATAATACCAATAATTTTTTCTTTAAAAAGATTCCTCTGAGAGATAAATCCACACAAACTTATCTGGGGAAAATGCCCTTTAAGCACCAATTAAAAAAAGCAAAATGTTGAATTAAACTTTAGGTAAAAAAAGGAAGTCACATGGGGGTCTTATTATTAGGTTTTTACACAGTTTCAATGCTACTTTCTTGTCATTGAATCTATCATTATTCAGTAATATGTACCAAAATAAATGAGAAAATTACAAGATTTATATATTAAAAGTTGGTTGAAAATATACACTGAAAGGCATTACACACTGTTTTCAGTGTTCCTGTTGAACCACAACTGCAGTAGTGGCAAATGTATTGATGGAATTGCTAACTTGGTATAGGTGGTAGCTTCCAAAATATTATTTATACATAAGGTATTGACAGAATAACAAAAACCCATAGTCTTACAAGACTTTTTAGGCCCTCAGTATTGCAGCAAATTTTTATTCTAAAATCAGATATTAGCTGGGAATCATGTTTTTTAAACATTTTTTCAGCAACGCTGTTATTTATTATCTGTCATTAATTGCAATATGTACATGGATTATAAGTCTTTCAACCAGTAAAAATCAGACAGATTAATTCTTATGTCTAAAATTGGTATTTTCAAAGGCAAGTTCTGGCAAAGAGCCATATGCTATAAAGCATTTTAATTTTTTTTAATACAAATAAGAGAATAATAAATTTCTATCTCTTTTCCAAGAAATGTTTTCCACAGCCAACTTTAACTAATTATTATCAGATTGACATGAAATATGAAAGCAATGTGGCGAACACATCACATTTTTGACAAAATATGATCTCATTAACAACTTTTCATATCCATGTGGTATTTTTCAAGTATTAGTGGTTACAGTATTTCAAAAGTCAAAACAGGCAAAAAGCAATCACACATTACCAGTGGTATGTCAGAATCCAACTGGCATTTTGACAATCGAGAACACCATCCACATGGGCCCTAAGAATAAAGGAAGATAAGGTGTAACACAAACTAAAAAGTATTAGAATAAACTTTTCAAAATTTAACTATTCAAAATTATCCCAAGGCCCATTTTCATGTTTTACGAATTTTTTTTAAGTGAAAAAAATTATGTCAGTGGACAATTGTCTTCTGAAAAAAATTTCAAGATCAACTAAATTTTCAAGTTTATACCATAAAGCTGACCATGTTACATTGATTGAAGAGCATTTCAAGTAGGTTTCAACTACTTGCACTGAAGCCATCAGTGTTACGTACACATTTTATTTTACAAAAAAAAAAATTGGAAAAGAAGCATTTTAGTCATGTATGACAGTGGCTTTCTAGTTCTGTTCTAGTGGTCTAATCACCTGATCCAAGGCATGTACACATGCATGCAGATATTCTAGATACTGAGAAACATGTAATTGTGAAATTTGAACATGGAGGGGGGGAGTACCTTGACAACTTTCCACGTTTCCTTGTCACATCTATTTGGAAGAATAGACTCTCCCTTTGGAAGCAGCAGTCCATCAATATGATGGTAGTATCCATTTGAAGCAGGGATGTCAGTTTGTGTGATATTGACAACCCTATTCAATCTAATCTGGCCCTACAAAAAGATACAATTCAATTACTATTCTTTGTAGTATTTCTTTTCTACCTTTTTTAATCAAAATTTATCATCTTTAGTTAAATGACAAGTAATCTTTCTGAATGGCAAAGATTAAACCCTTTATCATTTTTGCACTATTTAAGCATGCTTATTACCAGTACTTCTTCTAAAATTGAAATAGTTTGATCACCAATCTATCAATTTTACAATGAACAAAATAAAGTAATGCACCTCACAATAGTACTCTTAAATTTATTTTGTTCTAATGATTATGCTTACCAAGTTTGTAATGGTCACTGTAGTAGCTGCATTGCCAAGAGAAACAAAACGATCCATGTTGATCAAGTCAGCAGCTAAAACCTGACAAAAACAAAATGTTAATGTTGTTGTTAATAATGACACAAAAAGGTAACAATCCACCAAATTTCCATTCTAAAATCTACTTCAAATTACCTTATGGTTTAACATCATTGTGGCTGAAGAAGGTCGCTCCATTCCCAAGCTGGGTCAACTATGGGGTGAAACGGTCCACTTTTTCAGAAAAAAACTCTGAAATTGCTGGCTTCACATCCATTGACAGTGTCAAATGTTCTCACGTCAGCCTATCACATATATCTAACCTGATTCTTATCTCAACCAGTGACATCTATCTCAGTTCTTATCTCAACCAATGACATCTATCTTAATTCATTGAAAACATCATATGTTCTTACTTCAGCCTATCACATCTAACCTAATTCTTATCTCAACCTATCACATCTAACTCAATTCTAATTTCAACCAATCACATCCAAATCTAAATTAAAAATGCGTGACCTATTTACCTGTGTTCCCTCCACAATGTGACTCTTCAGCAATCCAACAAGCCTACCATGTCCCTTTGATATTATGAAAAAGTACATAGAGTGAACATTCACTGACACAGGAAGTTTCTTTTTATAGTTAAAGATGAAATACAGAGTTGCAATGCATAAAATGCATAATGCAATAAGGAAATCAAAATTACCATTGCTCAAAAGTATGTTTTTTTCACTTGAAACAGTTTTAACTAACTTGCCATTTAATATAAATTGTTCTTGGAGGTGACAGAAAGTTATTTGCAGGGTAAAGTTGCAAAACCACCATAGAATTCCCCCTTTGACATGAAAGTACCCATAAGCACCAGTACCTCTTTGGAGATCAGATAGCCATAGACTCTCTTGTCTATAGCATCAATGGCCCCATTATTGGCCACAAAGACTGTGTAGTTCCCTGTACTGGAGTCATTTAAAAAATCAACCAGACCTGCAATCTAAATAAAATGAAAAATAATAGTTAGTTAAAGCTAGTACATTCACAGAAGTTATCACCAAGAAACTGACCAGATAAATGAAAGTGAAGCAAATAATTTGTACAGAGAGGAAAACACAACATTCCTTTTATGCCTACTAAAATGTGAAGGTGGCAAAAAACTAATATACAAAAATATACATACGCTTGATAACTTCAAAACCTTATATACAATACCACAATGTATACCATTACAGTAAAAAATACATCATGGCAATATTATACTGACCTCAATCAAATATTGGAACCTGTTGAACTTCCCATCTTTTTTTATCAGTTCATACAAAGAAGTCTAAAAAAATTGAAAAAAAAAATGAAAGGAGTCTAGATTGTTAAATATACTTCAACTGAGATTTCTGTTATTTGCTCTGTGAAATTCTTATTGTGTCAGCTCAGATACATCTAAGTGTCCCTGGATTTATGAGTCATATATTTGTGAGTAATTACTTTGCTTTTTCTATTATTTTAATAGCCATATGTACTGAGTTCTTGAATAAAATGGAAGTAAATATAACAAACCTCTTTGTCTCCTTTTGTCTCTGGTTTGTTTGTCATAAGTTTGTCTATAACATGGATCAGGCCATTAGAAGCTATAATATTGTACTTGACTAGTTTCCCCTTTCTTCCTGATCCATGAATTCTATAGCGAAAGAGCATCTCTCCACTCTATAAACAGAAGATATAAAAATCAATATTTTACCTCAAAATAATGCAAAGCACTATAATCATAATCATCATTGTTTCTGTTACTGACATCATCATCACCATTATTAACACCATCAACATCATTATTATTATTATTATCATTTTTATAATTATAATTAATATTATTAAAACAGTAAGGTATACAAACTTTCATAGGTCTGGCATTGAGCTCTGCTGATGTGCCCTGTAGTGTATAGAAAGTGGTATTCCTCATGTCTTGTACACTCATCTGTGTGGCAAGGATATGTTGTCTGATGATCTGTGCAGCTAGGTCGTCATCTGAACTTAGATTTAGCTGAAATCAGTACATGGAATTCAGACACTGTTGTTAGGCCCTAAGGGGTAAAATGGACCACATTTGCAGAAAAATATTCCCCTTCGAAATTGCTGGCTGCAGGCCTGTTGGTATAAATATCTAGTTGAAATACAAACTGACATCATCAGAAAGACTGAACTGCAACTCACATTTCTAGCACTGTACAATCACTCAAAAGAAAAAACAATAAATGTAATCTTTTGGGCAAAGCACATTTATGAGTTTTATAAAACCGGGTACAAAAGAAAAGACCCATAGTTACACATTAATACATAACACTTAATCCAAAGCCAGTACTGATAACATAGAAGAGATTTTCAAGAAGCTACACTGTACAGGGACAAACATCATGTCAATATAGCGCAAGACTCATGCATCAGTGCTCCTCTTTACGTTTCTTCTTTCATATTCGTGCTAACACATGGGAGCAAATATGATGTGGAGTGCTAAGACATAAATATTCTTTTTTCCAGGCTACCAATCCTGATACAAGCAGACCAACGAACCTGCTTCTGGTTTGCCTGTCCCCAGTCCATAGGCATAAACAATGTGAAAGGTCCATGTTCAGCCAGGGCTGCTGCATAATGTAAAGCAATCATGCTGATGCCAAAGGACAGTTTCCCACCAAGTTCTGGATCATGCTTGTCAAGTTCTTCAAGCCTCTGTAATGGAAATTATTGATTGTGTTAGTCCAGATTTGGACTGTGAAATGACTGTCTTGCAACAACTGTAATGCTCAATTTTTATATTAATTTATAAATATATCATAATTGCTGACCACAAAAAATAAATCAAAAGATAAATATGAAAATAATAAACGAGTCTATCAGTTTCTTGAATTCAACTTATCACCTGTATAATATTTCCGTAACAAGTTTTTCCATCCCCAATGTAGCCTTCCTTACATTTACATCTGAAACATAAAAGGTTGATAAGTTACATGGGATATAAACTGCTAAAGTTACAAATTTACAACAATTACATGTGTATTGGTACACTGCAGATATACTGTGACAAAATAATTTCATTTAATTTGCCCAGCATGAAATAAGCTAATTGTAAATATTAAATTTGATTTTTCACCATAGTCTTTCATACGCATATGTACACATACACAAACACAAACACACACACACACACACACACAAACAAACATGCACACAAACCAGTTACTACTTACGTGACCTGACCAGGTACATCGACTGTACAGTCAGCATTTTTATGACATACATCTGATCTGTTTGTCTGACACAGGTCTATCATGACACAACCTAACCCAGTGGTGTAGTTTTCATATCCTTCAAGACAGTCACATCTGTTCTAGAAGAAAACAGACAAATCAAACCACAATGCAACACATGTGATGTATATTAGTAATTTTTAATATTTCCCTGCTGCAATCATTTTAAAATAATTTTTTTAAACAAAAAATACACTAGTGATTTTTTAATGTTCCAAAAATTTTACTAGTAATACAGTGAAGTTTTCTAGCACATTTTTAATTTTTACATTCAAATAAAAACATGAAGCACTTCCTCAGTCCTTTAAACTTAAACGTTTTCTTCACATTAATTTAACATGGGTAACTAGCTGGCTATTAATTGCCAATAAAAATGTGTGCTAATCAGAAAGTCCTACAGTCTATAGTAAGATCCTGCAAAGAATTTCAACCTTATATATGCATTTTAAAAAATACTTCAAGTCATACTTAATTTTATACTTTTTACATTTATTGATGTTACATATGCCTGTACGCAGTATATTAATATATTCATACCTCCCCTGGGCCAACATAAACACATTTAGCCCCTACACCTGGACACAGGGCATCATTCTTGTTATCACATGGGTTTATGGGATCACAGAAGAGCCCATCGCCAGTATATCCAAGCTTGCATTGACAGATATGGTTTCCAGGGGACAAAATGTCACAGTGAGCATCTGGATGGCAGGGATGACTGTCACAAGGATTTGTTGCTGGAATGATGAGAATTTCAAGGAAATTCTTTTTTCATTTTTTTCACAAAAACATCCAGACTGGATTTCCTGGAGAAACTATGCTGTTTAAAGGAGTGTCGTGGGTTTTTGTCCCACATATAGAATTGAAGGTAAAAGGTACATATATTCTACTAGCCATGTTTGCAACAAATGTCCCAAAGTCATATTTTCTATGTATGCATATAGGCCTATGTGTATCCTGAAAGGTAATTTTTTCACAATTCATATCTTAAAAATAACTTTAAAAAAGCTCAAACAAAATATTTTTCTGATATGTGACTGCTCATTCATAAATAAAAAAATCATTGGTTATAATTGATTTTAGAAAATAATGAATACAAGTACAGTACAGGGACAGCTCTAACAATAAGTCCTGAGTAGGAGAAAATCCTTTTTTCTGAGGAAAATTCACTTTGGAGCAAAAACCAAATTGGGATACTTTAAATAACTTATGGCTAAGTTAAATAACTTGTAGAACATTCTAACATGGGCAAGATATACTATTTCTCTGCAAACATAACGAGAACATTTTCTAACACTTGGTTAGAAGTCATGCTGGATAGTGTTCACTTTATAGTTTTTATCTATAATGTTTCTTCATGCTTTATTCAACTGATTACACAGGCATTACAATGATATCGAAAACGAGGGCAAAGAATGGAGAGTGCACATACTTACCTGTGCAATTCCACCCATCTGTGGCTTGGTATCCTGGTTTACAGCGACACCGTATCTCCCCATTGTCTTCCTCCGTGCACACTGCTTCTGGATGACAAGACTGGTTGGTGCAGCCAGAAATAGCTGGAAGAATTCTGTACATAGCAACACAAGGGCGAATCTTGGTGAGGGGACACATGCCCCACTCAAATTTTAACAATCATAATTATTATTACATGTATTATTATTATTGCGATTACTATTGATGCTATTGTCACCATCATCATTACCATTATTATTATTGTGATGATAATAATGATGATGATGATGATGATCATTACAATTTTTACAATGTTTTCTAACATGCAACTGAGCCAGGCCAAAATAACCCCAAGTCTGCCAACTTAGCCCAAAATAAGGAGAAGGTCTCGATAGTCCGAAGGTTCATTGCTCCGAAAAATCGTAACATTTTCATCAAATTTTTAATCAAGGGTTCATTGGTCCGAAGGTTCTAAAGTGAACATTCGGACCACGGCCCCAAAATGAAAATAAGCCAAATCCTGTGTGATTTTGAAGCTGACAGAATTTATCCAAGGAAATTTTCTTTTTGTTTTCTTTTGTTACATAATTATATAACCAGCACTGAGAGCTGAAATAGCAATAGTGTGTTTTGATACCTTGGTCACATCTGGTCCCCATGTACCCGGAGTCACAAACACAGGAGCCGTTTCCGTTTATGCCACTCCTGCATGTCCCCATTGGACCACAGTCACATACTACCAAGAATAAATAAAGAAAGTATTCTTACATCAACACGCATTAAAAAGGCAGAGGCCCTATCCTTATCCAGCAGTGTAGGTCCACTTAAGTGACACAGTCTGTAGCGGTACAATTTACAAGATAGACGACGTAAGCAGAGCCTTTGCTTGCCTCGGTTTCCTTGCTGCGGCAATAAGGGTACCCTGCGTGTTAGCACAAAAGCTGAGGTAAAGCGTCCACGTACGACACCGCCCTTTAATATAACATGTTATATCTTAACCTTTCATTTTCCAAATGTCAACCTAGCTGCCAACGTAGACTGTTTGAGTGCTTCTTTTCTGGTTTCTCGCCATTCGATGGGTTTTGCTAAGCAGAGTGGCTACCATTTTTTTTTCATTGTCTTTCAACCTCTTTTCCAGGGGTAATTCTGTCCTCTAAGTCTTAGCGTCACGCTCGCCGTAACTTAGGATTTAACCTGATAATTTCAGAACTCAAAAACGGCCTTATGGCCTTTTATTTCTCAAAATTTTGGATTGCGTATACCTTGGCGATTTGGGAAAAATTGATAAAGTTTCCCGTAAAATTAGCTTTGTTTGCCTCCTATCCAGTCTATCTACGCGCACGACAAAAAGCGAACTGGTGAAGAACGTCTGGAGTAGCGCAGTTGGGGCTTCTCAAAGTGTACCGGTACGGACTGCATCGCTTAGCATACCGCTCTATGTGAAAAAGACTAGAAATCAATCAAAATAAACATATAAGTTAGTTACGTTCGTAAGTTACGTTTTTCAAAATATTTATTGTTGGTTTAGGCCGAACCTAGGGTAAAACAAGTGGAACTTCGCACCTGACCATACTGTACGTGCTTTATGCTGCCATTTTGATAATATTTGCCTTTTTATACGATATTAACATATAAACAACCGCTGGACCACTGGCCGGTATAACGAAAGTTGACCCTGTATTGTTGGACACCAAAATTTGGTCTTCATCAATACATGTTATCTGCGCTACATGTAGTTCATTAAATGTAACTACCCCAGTAAACCGACAAGTGGTGGTAAAAAAAAGTCATGTTAATGTTACAAAATTAAGCACAATATAAAATCTAAACGGTTTTTAATGTCTTAGAGTACACTTATTTCTAATCTAAAAGTTTTTAAAACAATTTTTAAAACAATTTTTGGACCAATGTTATGACGAAAAAAAGGATCCGGAACCAGGTATGGTTAAAGTTTGTGGCATTTAACGACATGCACTACACCCCACACCCACAAGAAACCAACTTGTCGTTCCTTATGCCTTACCTCCAGTACAATTTGGGCCATATCTGACTTGTTCTTTACACTCTTCACAAGCCGATCCTTTAAACTGGGTCTGCAACATTCAACGATTTCAACATCAAGAATATGGCATCTTAGACTATCTTCCTCATACTTGAACAAATACCAGTACTAAGACGTGATATGTTTGGACAGACATCAGGCCGGTGTAAAGTGACAGAGAGTCCCCATAACAGAGAGCCCGCTTCCCATTCATTTGTACAGGTGAGCCTCGCCCTAGATTTTGACCCACTTAGGTCAAAATAACCCTAACCGTTATAACTATATGGAGGGCGGACTTTCTGTTACACGGATCCTCAGTTTCGTTACACCGGTTTCACAAAAAAAGCCAAAAGCTGAGGCTTGTTTCATAAAAGTACTATAATCCGAAAAATTGTCTGAAACTTTTGTCACTTTTTCCACAAGGTAATTGGCAGTAGTACAATTGCAATAAAAGATTAATCTAAAATAAAATACCGTTCCTGTTGCACCGGATAAAACAGGTGAGAAATGACTCATGTTTCAGCATAACACTTACTTCTTGGGCGAATGAAACGATTCCTGATTATTTTTAAGAAGACTACTACGGATTTAGACCTAACTCTGGGTTCATTTTGTGCAACCGTGCCTGGTTTAAACTTTTAAGTCAAAATGTTAGTCTACTTTGATCCAAGGTTTTAACTCAATAAGGTTTAAAATCATTACTAGTCTTTCTGTATAGTATATGGAATTTGGGATTATTCTGGATGACATTGTGCAGGAAATGATTCGCTTCTGCTTGTGTTTGATCTAGTGTACATTTTCGTTTTCGTTTCCGATGTGGTTCCGTTTGTAATAAGAGCTTATGGTCGTTCCTGGAATCGTTATTGTCAGATTCATAAGCAATGGCCATTGGGCCACAGTACCAGATCTGTGGTTTGGTTTCAAATAACCAGACTGGGAGGATTGTATCTGTGATTCCTTAACGCCTCGTAGTGTTTGTGGTGCGCGTCCTCATACTTGAAGTGGACTTTCAGAGGTGTAAGGAAAAGGTCTTAAGCCAATTTGTGAATGTTGCAATAAAGACGTCTGGCGTATAAACACAAAAATGTTTGTTTTGGTGATTGTATAATAAATTTCGTAAGCACCATATTATTTTTATTTTTATTTATTTTAAATCTAATATTTAATCAATGTAAATAAATTATTTTTGTTCATCTAAAAAGCGTATGTAGGCGATACAGTTGGCCTAACAAATTATCATTTACACTAATTGGATTCAGTTACATGGTACCTTCAGTACCGGCTTTAATTTCTTGAAAAACACGCTTCTCACACGCTATTTTAAAATATTTTGATTGAATGACATACAGCAAGGTGGCTTGCATCTGGTCACCATTACGAGACACCCTTGAATCCCAATAGGAGTGAGAGATAGCCACACAGGGGCATGGGGTTCGGGACCCGCTTTAGGGCCCCGAAAAAATGTTGTTTTAGAGGGCAAATGGTGCTATTCGGTACGGTTCAGAACTATGATTCAGCTAGTCAAAATTATCATTTTAAGAGGGGAGCATTAGTGTGATTTTTTTCAGAAATCGAAAGGGGGGATCAGAACCCCCTGACCACCCCTCTAAATCCGCCACTGGCCACCCACCATCAGGGGTCTCTGTAGGTTGTAACAATATTGGATGAAAGTCTGCCCTCTAATTGCGAAACAACCTAAAGACATCTATACAAAATGAGTTGAAAGTTGCACCAGGTTTTGCCACCCCTCCCCCTAAATCTTCAGTTGGACGTATTTTCCATTTCGAGTTTCTGAAGACTTAACACGTAGCCGCGTAGACCAAACGGTAGTGTTAATGATTTGAGGTATAATCTAGAAATTTTCATAGTTTATATAGGCACATATTGGAAACTAAAGTTTGTCTGCGATTCGTGATTAAGGTTTTTTGTTCTACAAATATGAGGCCCAGATATGATACTCAGATGACTGAAGAAAAGGACAATTTCACAGTATTGCCGATCAGTTTTGAATGACATCCAAATTCAGGACACCAAATGACATCCAAATTCAGGACACGCGCGAATGCAGAAATACAAGGAATAAAGTAAGACTATTGTTTTCTGTTCAAACATTGGTTTTATGTGGCGCCAATGAGCACATTGTCTGTCTAAAAAAACAACGGCCTACCGATAAGGACTGAGACTCAGAGTGTGGAAAAATGTTGCGCTCTGTTTCGCCTGAAGTAGCCCTTGGTATACTGCAAGCGACAGGTCAATTTCTCTAATATAACTCCTCCCTCCTGCCTAATCTGTAACATGTAATGCTTACCTGACAAACGCAGGTGCCGTTCCCCTGATTTCCGTCATTACACACGCCACGCCCGGAACATGGGGTTTGTGCTCCTCCTGGACATGCTGAAAAACAAAAAGCGCGTTCCTAAAGAGACAGATTTTGTGATTTTAAGTGTCTTTATCAAGCCAATTTTGAAAAGTACGTGCGCACGCGTATGAAATGTGTGTGTGAAATTTAGTTTTGACCGAGTGGAGTACACGGAATTAATTTAAAACAACGCATTTGCCTGCTTTAACTGACCACTACATTGCTTTTCAACTTGCTAAGCGAATCACAGTAAAGCAAACTTGAAATTAGTCAGGTAAAACGCTGTCCAGTTTATTACTAAATTAATCAAGTATCTGAAAAGGCTGTGCACTGGCTGATGCCACCAATAGCGGAAGTATATGATTAAATGGCCAATATTTGAAAGCATCTTTTTAAATTGGCAATATATTAAAAAGACCTTTGTTGCAGAATGGGGTCACCGTCAGACACTGATGCAATCTTGCTTATCCTTTAGTTTCAAGTTCATTTTACATCTCAAAGGTACGACATTTTTCAAACATGTTTACTTCATCACTCTGGGAAAGAAAATGGCATCTTAGGGTGCTTTCCCAGAGATTTAGATCGATCTAAAGATTAAGTTTTAGATCGACCTAACTCCCTGGGGGTTCAAGCTAAATTGCTGTCAGCCGAGCGGGCACCATAGTTAATTACCCCCTTACAGCTTTTAGTAGGCGGGACAGACTCTTAAGCCGGCCAAGCTGACAGTAATGTAGTGAGACTCCCCACAGGGATAGATCGATCTAAAAATCTATGGAAATGGGGTGTTAGGCAAATGCATTCAGAACGGTTTTCAGCAGCGAAGGAAATGGTACCGTGCTGACCGACCAATGTCCAAAGATTAATCTACAGAATGCTCGACGATGCAGTGTCTTACGGAAATGAAAACGTTGTGGAACACAACCTCAACGGTAAAGGTTCGGTCAAAAATATTAGTTTTCTTAGGCTCTTCTGCAACAAGGTTGAAGGAACACGCAAATTTGAACAAAAACACTTCCACTGATGCTCCGTTTCCATGTGCATTCTTAGCAATCAAAAGGACAGACCCTTACGTTGAAAAGTAAATCGACCAGACAGGTTTCTGTACTTTCCTTTACTTAGATCCTATGTAAGAAAATGCTTTAAATGAAAGTAGAAGATAGAATCTTTATAAAGATTACAGATCTTTTTCTTGGCTTCATTAGGAGATGTCATTACTGTCTTTGTTCATTTGATAATAGATTTTCATGAAGACTGTCAATATGTCATATAAGGTCCTATACTCCCTTATATTAATCACAATGATTCGATGTCAGGTGCAAAAAGTCCAAAACCACAAACAGGCGATGCATTAAAAACACATAATTTATTGTGTATTGCATATCCTTCATCTAATAACTACTAACGATAATGACCAAACGTGAAAATAATCTGCTTTATGTAACAGTGCGCATGCCCAACTGCCACTTCTTCTCAAAAAGAAAGGTCAACTAGCGATCATGAGGAGATGTGTTTACAATTACAGGAGTATAAATATATTTCCATCAGGGAACAAATTCTTTCTAGCTGAGAAGCGCAATGATGTTGGAGTCATCTGCAAGGCCAAAATCGAGCAGCCTTATTTGTATCCTCACACAGGTAATTTTGTTGAGTTTCCTCGCTTTCTGTTATAGCACTGCAGACCTTCATAAGCCACGTGTTGCTTAATTAGTATTTACTTTTGTTTTTTATCGTTCGTAGGTGTCTGTAATAAATTCTAATATTAGAAATATCCCGCGGTAATGTTTTCTTCCGATAAAACAATTTTTCACTGTATCAAGTAATTTGAATTAGATAAAACATATCAACATTTTAGGATTAGAGCATTTAATTGTCTTCCACTTAAAGAACTGTAGAAGCAATTAATTGGTAAGTTTTATTTGGAATATATATCTTAAACCGTAAATGGGTTTCATAAGTCTGACTGCCATTACTTTCTTAGATCTTAGTCAGTGTACGATGATATCCTGCAATTTCATGGCCATAGCACGCGTGCGTATGTGCAAGTTGTATTTACAAAAACCACCGTTTTCAGGTACAAATGAATAAAGATATGTTTAGCAAGCACATGTAGTTACATGAATATACATATAGGCATTTTTTTTTTTTTGGGGGGGGAGGGGGGTTAGAAATGTAAATTTCGCCTTTTGAGATTTCTCAAGGTCACCAATCAATATAGCTGTTATAACAACATTACACATTTGCAGGTTTGAAGGGCAGTTCAGTTTTTTTTTTTTAAAGAAAAAAAGTGAATGAAATTAACTATTTCGTCAATTTTTCCGTCTTCTAGTATACAATACGTCTCTGGAAAAGAGGCTTGATAAAAAGACGCTGCATATATCTGTGTAACAGAACATTCTATGCGAAAATAATTTTTTTTTTTCATTTGATAAAAAAGAAACAAAACTTTCTGTTTTTATTTGCCAAATTGTGGTGATAAAACATCCCGACCGCTAGGTGGTATAGCGCCCAGAATTCTCTTATGAATGTCGTCTTTATTAATGGGTGGCTGTTGGGATGTCGGAATACTCGGATTCAAGGATCCTGGTTGAATTCCAGTCAGTACTGATAGAGTTGGTATTGAGTACTGTCACTGATTTCTGTTGTTCAATAACGCTGGTCTTCAACTGTCTGCCTGTCTCAGCAATATAAAAGAAATTGCAGTAATGGCCATTGATCTTATATATGGTCCCACAACGCGAGGGTCTTGTCTTTTGGTGTCAGCAAGTGTTGTTCTAATGTGCACTGGGGTCTAAAGGCCGTAAGATACTATGCTTTTCGTAGATCCAGCACACTTTCTCTGAAATAACTTAACAATAAGGGAGAATAGCTAGCCGTCTTTTGCTGACTGTATCTGTTGGCTCACAGTTGGTCACTATTGGCTTGTCCTGAGGCAGTTTTATCTTCAAGGCCCAAGGTGGGTAACCACACAGAGCAATTTTCATCCAGTGTCTTGTCCTCCAGAGTCTTGTCTTCCTCGTTGGTCACAATGGGGGGTTTAAAGTTGTTTGGACCCCCAGTTTTTGATGCAACGGTGGTAAAACTGGAAGTTTAAGTGTTGGTTACTACCTTTCGGTCAGTGAGTAATAACTGACGTCAGTCTGTTGAAGGCCTACCTTCGGTATGAAATTATTTTCAGCTTGTGTTAAATAATTATCATATATGATCCAATTACCAAGTTAATGAACATTTGGTTATTAGCACCACAAATCACGTTAGATACCACGTTAGATACTTTTGGTACAATGCGAATATGTATGGCCGTTTTCTTTATCAATTGTTCAGCTTTTCACAGACTAACGTAGTTTTTGGATATAGATAGAAGACACGAGAGCAAGAGGTAAATATCACATAGAGTTTTTAAGCATTAAAGTACGTTTTCATTTTTCAGGTTTCATGCCTGATCTTTGTAAGTGTCTTGAAATGCCATACAGAAGCAAGACCTACGATGAGAAATACAGGACTTTCGAACACGGTTACACAGGCGACATCTGTAACTGTACATTCAGTCAACAAATATCAACCTTTTCGCTACGAAGGAAAGATCATCAAATCATTTGTTTCAACTGTCGTCGTGCCGTTAAGTAATCAGGGTGACGTTAAGGCATATCCTATTACAGACATGAAGTCACTTAACGTATCCAATGTGACGGCACCTGCTCTTGCAAATAACTTAAGCATAACCTCATACGTATCGCCAAAGATCATATTGCCAAATTCTGCTGTTGGATACCGCAGAAAAAGAGATCTTACTGAATCCGAATACCAAGAAACGACCGGTCCCTTGGCAACTTCTACTGATTTTGGCACAAACAACCACTCAGAAGTGCGGATGGGTACATCTTCGCCAATAAACCAGTTGACCACTTCCGCTGAAATATTCATGGAAGACACAAATAATACAAAACCTACAGAAAGTGTAGAAAAACAATTTTCGAACGAGGGCAAATGGAATAATGCAGAGTTTCAGAAGAAAAATGGAAGCTTTAATACAAACAGTACATCTTCAAATAAGCGTCACCATAAAAATCGAAGCGCCATCTTCTTTATTCGATTTTGTTTAGATATATGGTGTGTGCTTTCGAACTTGGTGAACATCACAGTGTGGTTGCGTTTAAGGAAAATGCCCGAATCACAGCGATTTGTTTTATTTTTCATAGCACTTTCAGTTACCGACGCGTTGGTTGGCGCCTTGAAAACCGCGGTTATGACTGCCAGCCTGGTTGCTCCTTACATACAAAAACATGCTAATTTTTCTATAATGACTTTGCATATATACTGTGGCATTTTTGCCGATATGGCATTTTATTATTCATTTTTACTACTAACTATAGTATCGGTGGGACGTTGTTTTATCCTTAGGTATCCGCTTGTCACGTACAAAATGAGGCACACTGTGCAGAAATTATGTTTTGCTTTATTGCCAGCTCTTATTATGATAATTGCCATTTTGGCCATTCCGGAACTCATGGACGCGTCAACTGGGAAATCAATCTACAAAACACACGCAGAAATTACAGCTGTGATTTTTCCGTTAGTGGTTCAATTGATATCGGGTTCATATCTTTTACGTATGATGATCATTCGTAACTCGGAGGAAAATGCATCCATTGAAGCGCCACAGCACAGTTTGCGCTTCCAGAACCGCGTCACTTCAGCGATAACAATGAACACCATTGCAGCCTTCAGTCTAGTTCTCCCTTGGACGGCATATGACTCTCTAGTAAAAGCAAACGTAATCAATCTTGACAGGCAGGTCTATCATATACTCGGCTGTATTAGAATTTTGAACTGCGGTGTTAATTTCTTCATATATATCACAACTCATGCTACATTTCGAAAAATCTGTCTGGAACTTTTCCATCTGGGTGTTTTATTTGGTAAGAGCATTGAAACTTCTCAAACCACCTCTAATCAGCAAGGAGAAACAAAGGAGTCGACAAGTATATTCCAGCGCCTCAAGAGGTCTCGCAATGCGGTTGCTCCGGTCACTGAATAG